GAAGGTGTGCAAAGACATATAAATTCAGAGAGTAAAGAAAGAGACACTTCACTTTGTATTCCTTGTAGGAAAGCAACCTTGAAATTTGTTTGAACATACCAACCCCATCATCAGTGACATTGGAGAGGCTGCCCATGTCAAAATCATGCACCCGGTCTCTGCCCTACCCCCTCCCCCTCCCTCTGCCCCATGGTCCTGCTCTTCATCCAATTCGATCCCAAAGCCTCGCATGGGCTCGTCCTCCAACGTGCTTTCCTTATATTCACTATCAGGGATAACTATGCCTGGATATGGGAGAGAATAGGATTCAAATCCGTCATCATTCGACTCACTCTCTCCGTCCTCAAACTCTGAAACCTACATTTTTTCCCTCTCGTTTTCCTTCTTCAACCCTTGAAATTGATTTTCGCTCTATGAGATTTGATGGATCTGGGATCTAGAACTCAAATTCACGGAATCCATATGTAGGTGAGGTGATGAAGATTATAACTATAATTTTATGGATAACCCACCCAAGCCCGTAAATCAGCATAATTTTATGGATAACCATAATTTTATGGATAACCCATAATTTTATGGGCTATCAATTAAAAAAATCAGCATCGCATATATAAATTCTCAACTATCCACAATTTGTTTTATTTTATTACGTCTCAAAAAACTATTACATAAATATATTTCTTATGGAAAAACTATACTTCAATTTATAACATATTTTTTAACATTTCATAATTTTTTGTTATTTTTTTTAAAAAATATAAACTTTATTACTTAATGAAGCAATATTGTATATAATTTTTAAAACTATCCACTATTTATTTTATTTTATTCATTGTATATGAATTTTATAATATCAACTTTAATTTTTTCTTTCCTTAAATATGGCCTAAAGTCAAAATAGGCGTTATAAAATGGGATGGAGGGAGTAATATAATACGAAAGGTGAAAAGAAACTATATGAAAAAATGCTGCTTCAGGATACATGTTTGTAAAACAAAAAATAATTGAAATCTTTTTTAATTATTTTTTGTATAAACAAAAAATAATTGTATCAAACATGTTTAAAATTCTTAGAATGCCGGGAGCCACGATACATTGTTTGATAATGGAAAAAGAGAAACAGCCACAAAATAATTTTATATATATATATATAAAATCATCCATCAACATGTTTGATGTTAGAGAACAACAAAAACAGAGAAAATGTGCATTCCCATAATCAAATAGACAAACGTATACATATTGATATAAAACAGGTCTCTCAATCTCTAACTAAACAGAAACACTGAAGCAGCATACCTTAAAAGATGTTAAGTAGGTGGTCCTCTTCAGGGCATTAGCTATGTGCCCTACGTAAAACGACGAGGGACCCAACCAGAAACGCCGCAAAGAGTCCGACCTTTCCATCCTTGCAGTACCCAATGGCCGTCTTCATCAAACACAAAATCCTTGTGATACCCTGCCTTCACCTTCCCACTTAACTTCTTCACAAGATCCTGGTTCATGGGCATTGGCTTAAACCCAGCTTTCGTAATGCGCATCTGCCACTGCTTGTATGTTCCAGGCCTCTCTACTCTTTCCATTCCCTCACAAGCAATGACATTCATTATTTCGCGTCCCGCAAATTCCTGCTCAAACCTCAATCTGCTGTCATCATGTGGCACAGTGGCGTCAATCATATCAAAATAATTGGAGTAGAATAGAAAAGCCTCTCGGAACCGAGACAGAAACAAAGGGCCACTGTGAGATGCATTGAGCACAATCGGCACAAAAACTTGTGGATTTATTTCCCGGATTAAGTTCAGAACTGCATCTCTAGGGCTAGGGTTGTCCTCCCCAAGGGTCTCATCCATTAGGTTTCTCAACCGGAACGCACAGTTAACAGCAACAACCTCACCCCTCACAAGCTTCAAATCATCAATTTTGATTTTCTCCCAATTCTGTGAAGTTATGGCATTGTACTCGAATGGAACACCAAATTGTTTGCAATACTTTGCCAAGATACGACCAGTGTCAACTACCAACTGTTCTGGGCAAAAACCACGTACCGGATATTCGATTCCAGTTACTTTAAGTTTAGGAGGGCCGGTGGGTCTTTTTGAAAGATCATGGATAAGAGTCGGCCACTGGATACCATTATAAATACCAAAATCTATGACATGCAGTGATGTACACTTTGAAGCTACTTCCTGAATTATTTTATTAGCAATGAAATATGATATTCTTAAGACTGGCCAAGATATCATGAAGGATCTTAATAGCCCAGTCATCTTGTTTGGAGCTAGGCCCTCAGAGAGTTGTGGGCCTGTCCCATTAAGCCGTGCCTCGAGAGCATTTGCAAATGCATGAGCCATCCTTTGATAGGCATCACCAGTTGGCGATGAGTACTTTCTGATATTTCTTAATTGTTCTTTTGCAGACCCATGATCAAAAGCAGCAATAGATCGTGCACAGCTTAATAAAAGCGTCTCCAGATCCACAAACTCAGTATTGTCTTTTTGTGTCTTTGAATGACTCTTCCTGCCACCTCGGTGGTTCTGTTTTCTTCCCTTGCAGCCAACTAGAGATGGAAACTGATCAGCTATGATACTATCAACACATATCAAAACCTTATCAAACATCTCGGACAATTCATCCTCCGCCTCCTCTTCATCATAAACTGTGGAATATTTGCTGCTCCTTTCTTCTTCTATCCGACTTTTATCAGGAAGGTTATGCTTCTTGCTTCTAGTGGAATCGGTGTTATAGTCATCCAAGTTCGTTACACTTGATGAATGGAAAGAGGGAGGATCACCAGCCAGAGATGATTTTGATTCTTCAGTGTCAAAACTGCAAAGAGTCCGATGAGGCACCCAACCGGAAACACCCCAAAGAATCCGACCTTTCCATCCTTGCAGTACCCAATGGCCATCTTCATCAAACACAAAATCTTTGTGATACCTTGCATTCACCTTGCCTTTTAACTTTTTCACAAGATCCGGGTTCATGGGCATGGGCTTGAACCCAGCTTTCATAATGCGCAAATGCCACTGCTTGTATGTTTCTGGCCTCTCTACTCTTTCCATTCCCTCACAAGCAACAACATTCATAATTTCGCGTCCCAAGAACTCTTGCTCAAAGCTCAATCTGCTGCTACAATTGCGTGGTAAAGTAGCATCAAACATATCAAAATAATTAGAGTAGAATAAAAAAGCCTCTCGGAACCGAGACAGAAAGATATTGCAGCTGTGAGATCCATTGAGCACATTCGGCACAAATATATGTGGAGTTATTTCCCAAATTAAGTTCAGAACTACATCCCTATGGCTATCGTCCCTCCCCTCCATTAGGTTTTTCAGTCGAAATGCACAGTTAACAGCAACAACCTCACCCCTCACAAGCTTCAAATCATCAATTTTAATTTTCTCCCAACTCTTTGTAGTTATGGCATTGTACTCAAATGGAACGCCAAATTGTTCGCAATACTTTGCCAAGAGACGACCAGTCTCTACTACCATTTGTTCTGGGCGAAAACCACATAAGGGATATTCAATTCCAGTTATTCGGAGTTTAGGAGGGCCGGCGGGTCTTTGAGAAAGATCGCGGATGAGAGTGGGCCACTGGATACCATAAAAAATACCAAAATCTATGACATGCAGTGATGTACTATTCAAAGCTACTTCCTGAATCATTTTATTTGCAATGAAATATGATATTCTTGCGATTGGCCATGATATCAGGAAGGATTTTAAGAACCCAGAACCACTCATCTTATTTGGAGCTAAGGCCTCAGAGAGTTGTGCGCCTGTTCCATTAAGCCGTGCCTCAAGAGCATTTGCAAATACATGAGCCATCCTTTGACTGGCATCACCGGTAGGTGAAGAGTGCTTCCTGATCATCTTCAATTTTTCTCCTACAGACCCATGATCAGAAGCAGCAATAGACCGTGCACAGTCTAATAAAAGTGTCTCCAGATCTACAAACTCACTATTATCTCTTTTTTTCAATGAACGACTCTTCCGGCCACCAACAGCAGATGGAAACCGATCAGATATGATGTTATCAGCACATATCAAAACCTTATCAAACATCTCAGACAATTCAACCTCCTTCACCTCCTCCTCATAGACTGCATAAAATTTTCTGCTCCTTTCTTCTTCTAACCCACTTCTATCTGGAAGGTTATGCTTCTTTCTTAGAGTGGAATTGGTGTTATATTTATGGGAAGCGTACTCGGGAGGATCACCAGCCAGAGATGATTTTGGATCTTCAGGATCGACAATCCACTGGCTAGTGTCAAAACTGCTAACGGTGCTGCCAGTTGTGCTATAATAGCCTGAGCTCCCAAATGTGCAGTGCAACCTATCAGAATTATTGTTATAAAATAGAGGTCCTTGATAAGGAGATGAAGGGTTCTGACACAGGGCATTATAAAACGAATTCTCAACAGCCCTAAGAGCAATGGGATCATAGGACATGCTGAGATCATTCTCATCCATGTTATCCTCCAGTAGTATCTGGTTAAGGAACTTGATCGTGGCATTATAGTCGGGATCATCTTGAGAGTCCAACGTAGCAGCACGATTAGGA